TTAGCTGCTAGGGTTTACAATGAAGATTTCCTTCGCATTTGATTCTACCGCTCGAAGGAGAGGGGCACACAACTTGTTTTGCCGACTCGTCGACTCTCGCTCCCGTCTGCATCTACGTCAGCATCGTCGATCGCAGATTCTGTGTCGGCGTGCGTCTGGCGTTTGCGTCGTTTCGATGCTGCACTCCCTGCTTCTGCGCCAAACGTTTCTTTCCTTCTACTTCGACGTTTCATCGTTTCGACCGTCAGCGCCCGTGCTTCTCTCCGGCCTGGCACCGTGCTTCCTGAAACTGTCGTTTTGGTCTGCTTCTCGCTGCAGGTGATTTGGTCTGATGCAAAGAAGAAGGAAGAGTCATCAGAGCAAAGGGAGGTAACTTGAATTTGGTCTGCTTCTCGCCGTGTTCGTCGGTACCTCCCTTTGCTCTGATGACTCTTCCTTCTTCTTTGGTTGAACCGACAAAGGTCTCCTTTGCCCATGCCGTTGGTAACCCTCAAGTGGAGTCCGTGGTGGTATTCGCCTTAATCTATAAGGATTGTTGCGATGGTACAGATGATTGTCATTTTGTTAAGAAGGGAAGTAGGAAAGGTGAAAAGTTCAAGTTTGCTCATATTGGAAAATTTCAATGGAGTCACCCACTTATAGTCAGACAGAGTGTTGATGATCTTAAACTAGTAGGTAAGTGGAGAGTGAGACTCATGAATGAGAGATATGTGTTGATTCAAATAGCCGTGGCTGAAAACTACACTCGAATTTTCTCCAAGAAATATCATTTTCTCCAAGAAATATATTTTCTCCAAGAAATATCTTAATATCGCAAGCAAATCAATGAAGTTACTCAAATGGTCTCCTGATTTCGACCAAAATCATGAAACTCCCACTTTACCTGTATGGTTTAGTCTACATGGTCTCAAGTTGCATTTTCTTGCCGCCAGCCCTTCCTAACTATTTTTCCTTACTGTCAGAGTTGTTGTCTTCTTGCCACCAGATTTGTTGTCTTCTTGTTGCTGGCCCTTCCCAACTGCCATCTCCTTGCCGTGAACCCTCCCATTAGTAATCCTTTGTAGCCATAAAAACCCATCCACCTTCCTTTCTTCAACTATAGCCACCTTGCTACAACCTTAATTTCTTCCACCGTTTGACCAAGTCGCAGCTGGGTGTATGCGTACTTTGTTTGTTGTATTTTCTTTTCGTTGCAATCTTGTAACCACTTATTTGTTTCGAGTAACAATATTTATTTTTCTATTGTGGTATGGGTTATCTCCATTATCATTTAGCATCTGAGCAAGCCTAACCCTAGTTCTATTGTAGGGTTTCTAGCACCAAAAAAAATTTCTTTTCCTTCCACCTACCTACACCCAAAACCCTAACCAAACCCCCAAGGGGACAATTGCCAAACTTTGATTAGGAATCTATCATGTATGACATAAAATGGCTACTACTCCAAGTGCTACATTGGCAAGAAGCCATTGAGAAAAGAACCCAAGGCGGGATCATAGTCGACTGTAATGGTGAAATCCATGAGGGAGAACAAGAACAATGGAATCCCATCCGTAGGGACGATCTCAGCAATGATAAAGACATGCCACAACGCTTTGGGGTATGGTATCGGCAAGGCCTAGAAATGAGGTGTTTGTTGGAGGATAAAGAGATGAGATGCTCGTTAGATGATATAGAAATGGAGCGTTGATTAGAAGATACAAAAATGATGAGTGAATTTTGAATACAAAGAAGTTATCGATTGATAGAAGAGTGAAACTTGCCACCTTTAAGTTGAAGAAGAAAGCTTCTTTATGGTGGGAGCACTGAAGAGGGAGTGACAGAGAGAAGGGCAGGACAAATCACTTTTTAGGAAAAGATGAAACGTGAGATGAGACTACAATACCTACCCCCGCACTACCTCCACGAAATGTTTTAAACGACATAGATTTGGGTCCATTACCTCTAATTGTCTGACGAGTCGAGTGGTATCATTATCGAGCAAGGTGCTATGGAGAAACATAACAACTTAGGGTCCGTTTGGGGCAGCTGCAGCTTATCCAGCTTCTGCTGATAAGCAGCTTATCCTGATAATTTGCTGATGATCAGCTGATCCGGATAAGCTGTCTGGCTGTTTGGTTGACGCTTATGGAAAACAGCTGATTCTGAAAAATTGACCATTCTGCCCCTGTTCTGAATAAACAGTTTAGCTGTTTGGTTAGTGCGTTTTGTAAACAGCTTTTTTGGAAATTTTTTTTTAATTAAATGAATAATCTGTGGAGCAGTTATCATGGCGACTATGCTAAGAGATGGTCTTTCTAAATGCTGAAGTTTACTCAGCATATGTTGAGCTGAGTTGATTCCTATTATGGTTTTCCATCTTGCCTGTAAAGTAGAACTTGAACTTTCACCCTTGTTGCTTTTAATTCCTTAACGTAGCCCCACTTGAATGATCATGTAGAGCTTACAAATAAGTTTTAGGGGAATTTACATACATACCACTTAATTCTTAATGATCATGTAGAACTTTAATAGGTGCATTGAAAACTACTTGTCTAAATAATGCCCAACTTTGATTCAAACGGAGAGCTTTATGAAATTTCTGCCACAACTTTGATTCAAATAAAGTTTACGAATGAATCTATAAAGTGAAATTAGGTAGCTTTTCTTCATAAAACAACAAAGGTAGCAAATACTGACATTGAAGTGTTTACAACAGATGAAAGCAGAACGGATCCATATTGTAATTTCTAGTGCTCGTAGGCAAAGCTATTTGTTCTCTCAGAATATATTTACAGAGAAGCTGAAATCAATGTTCAAATATTTATAATAACAAAGTTGATGTTATATCAAGTAACAATAATCCAAAAAATAATCATAAATCCAATACGATCTGACACTTATGCTTAGGAACTGCTCTAAATTAACTAAAATATGCATGTTGGATGCAATCAAATATATATATGAATGTCACACAAAAAAAAAATCTATTTGCATGAAATATCAAGAGTACGGATATGGGAGAACTGCATCAACAAAGGGGGATGACTACAGCTTTGGTGTTCTTGCCCTTGAAATGGTCATAAGGAAGAGACCTACTGATGATATATTCACAGAAGGATTAATTCTGCCGAAATGGGTTAGAAACCATTTACCTACTCAGCAAGAATATCAAAGAAGCATTCACGGGAGAAACCATTTACCTACTCTGCCGAAATGAATCTATTCTGCCGAACGACTGCGATCCGGCGGAGACGAGAGGGAGAAGCAATGTTACGGGAGCAAGAGGCCAAGCCCTCGATCCAGCGTCGAATGGCAATGTTACGGGAGCAAGAGGCCAAGCCCCGCTGGATCCGGCGTCGAATGACAATGTTACGGGAGCAAGAGACCAAGCTTTCGATCCAGCGTCGAATGGCAATGTTACGGGAGCAAGAGGCCAAGCCCCGCTGGATCCGGCGTCGAGCGGCTTCCTGACGGGAGCGAGAGGCGAACGGGTTGTTGTCGGGAGAACGGCTGCGATCTGGGCGAGGCTCGAACGAGTTGGTGACGGGAGCCGGGGCTTTTAACAGAGACGAGAGCGAGAGCGAGAAGCTAGGGTCACGAAAGAGGCGAAGGAAAAAAGAAGGTCACGGGCGTAAATTACAATTGGAAAACGCGGGTCCGCGTCTTTTTACAATTGAGAAAACGCATTTTTCAATAATTTGGCGATAAGTGGGTACCAAACAGTGAGGCGGCGTTTTCAAAACGCCGCCCGCACTTATAAGCTGTCCCAAACGGGCCCTTAAAGGCGGTT